TGAATATGCGGTACAGGGACACCACACACCACCAGTTCAGCGTGTGGTGGTGTATAAAAAATGGCCTCAACTCATCCTTGACCATGGCTGCTGATGCGTTTTTCGCCCCATCCAAGGGCTTACTTATAGGTGAAACGTGTCAGAGTGGCGGGATCAAGGAGGAGCTGAGGCAGTTTCTTTACACCACCACACGCTAAGCTGTCCCTATACCACATCTTAGGTCCAGTACTGCTTTTCCGGTGGAGTTCTTACAATGGTTTTTTCCAGTTGTTGAGGAGCAGGTGACCTTTATTCCTCCTTCCCAGGTGCAGTGCTCAGGAATGAGTGGCCAATCACCAGGTCTGAGATGTTTTGATTTGATTCATGTAAGCCTGGACAGGATAAAGAGAATATGACATCTTGGGTCCAATCAGTGATTAATTCAAACCTCCTACAGTGCCACTTAAGCGTCCCAGTGACTGGTCCGGTGATCCACCGTGGGGAGGGTGCAGGTATCCAAAATCCTTTATCTGGAGCCTGAATATGCGGTACAGGGACACCACACACCACCATTTCAGCGTGTGGTGGTGTATAGAAATGGCCTCAACTCCTTGTTGACCATGGCCGCTGATGCGTTTTGCCCCACCCAAGTACTAAATCATAGGCAAAATGTGTCAAAGCGGCGTGGTCAAGGAGGAGTGTGGTCAAGGAGGAGCTGAGGCCGTTTCTTTACACCACCATAGGCTGAGCTGTCCCTATACCACATCTTAGGTCCAGTACTGCTTTTCAGGTGGAGTTCTTACAATGGTTTTTTCCAGTTGATGGGGAGCAGGTGACCTTTATTCCTTCTTCCTGGGTGCAGTGCTCATGAACGAGTGGCCAATCACCAGGTCTGAGATGTTTTGATTTGATGCAGTTTTTTGGCTGAAATTTTGTTTCGTTATTTCAGATTCATTTAAATTCGTTACTATTGTAATTTGGAAATTTGGATACATTCAAATCTCCGAACAGCAAAAAATTTCTCCAAATTTCGATTCAGAACGAAACAAGCCGCACATGTCGACTCCCCTCCCAACTGCCTACTGTCCATCACTGCTGACAACATGATCGGCTACAGATCGTGTGTCAGTAGCCAGGCCCTCCTTGACCATGCCCACTGATGCGTTTCACCCCACCCAAGAGCTTAATCATAGGCAAAACGTGTCAGAGGGGTGTGGTCAAGGAGGAGCTGAGGCCGTTTCTTTCCACCACCACAGGCTGAGCTGTCCCTATACCGCATCTTAGGTCCAATATTGCTTTTCAGGTGGAGTTCTCACAATGTTTTTTTCCAGTTGTTGGGGAGCAGGTGACCTTCATTCCTTCTTCCCAGGTGCAGTGCTCAGGAACGAGTGGCCAATCACCAGGTCTGAGATGTTTTGATTTGATGCAGTTTTTTGGCTGAATATTTGTTTTGTTATTTCGGATTCATTTAAATTCGTTACTATTGTAATTCAGAAATTTGGATACATTCGAATAGCGAACATTTTCTCCGAATTTCGATTCAGAATGAAACAAGCCGCACATGTCGACTTCCTTCCCAACTGCCTACGATCCATCACTGCTGACAACATGATCCGCTACAGATAGTAAGTCAGCAGCCAGGCCCATGTAAAAGAAGCCTTAAAGTGGACCATGAGCCAATAAGAGAAGGGTTAGAATTTGGGATAATTTCATTTCATGTCCCAGCAATACTGGTCTTAGAATTCTTACTTACGTCTGCAGCAACATATGGCCATCTGGGTGAATTTCTATGTGCTCAATGCTATAAAAAGGAAATAATTACTTTTATCTTTCCTTTTTCTTGTAAGCAGGTTTAAAAGATGAGCAAAAAACGACAAGCTAGACCTATATCGTGGAGTCATTAGCCCCTGCGGCCTTTGGCTATGGGCGACTCCCCACTGTAGGTACAGTCATGGGGAAGTTGGATAAATTACATTTAAACAGCACAATAGTTGTACTGTGCGCCTGGCAGGAAGATAGCAGGAGCCAGAGATGAAAGCGATAGCGAGCGGAGAGGGCGATAAAAGAAAAAAAAAAAATGAGGCGAGCGTAGATAGTGCCAGGGAAAGCTAAAGACTCCGGGTGTGGATGCGAAATCAGATATATAATCTGCGGATGAGAAAAAGGAGCTTCTTAAAGATGGGACTCCCTCCTCCTTTGCATGGGAGAAGCATAACGAGCAACAAACATTTCAAAGTGTACACACCACTTCGTGAGCTATATGCAGTCTTCGAGACATTTTAGTCGTGATCTCTGGGCTATGGCATGGTACCTGCTGTATAAGGTGGAACCTGGACAAATGGTCTATTGTGCCTTGTTGTAGTCTGCTAAGGTTGGTCTGGTCTTTAATGTGTGTTTTATTATTCTTCTCCTCTGTCCACTTCCTGGAGTTCTCTTGGTGTTAGAAGTGTCTGCATTTCCAATGTCTGCACTTCTCCAATGTCTGCACTTCCAATGTCTCTCTTCTCCAGCTGTAGAAGTGTCTGCACTTCCATTGTCCATTGTCTTCTCCAGGTGTAGAAGTGTCTGCACTTCCATTGTCTTCTCTTCTCCAGGTGTAGAAGTGTCTGCACTTCCATTGTCTTCTCTTCTCCAGGTGTAGAAGTGTCTGCACTTCCATTGTCTTCTCTTCTCCAGGTGTAGAAGTGTCTGCACTTCCAATGTCTTCTCTTCTCCAGGTGTAGAGGTGTCTGCACTTCCAATGTCTTCTCTTCTCCAGCTGTAGAAGTGTCTGCACTTCCAATGTCTTCTCTTCTCCAGCTGTAGAAGTCTGCACTTCCAATGTCTTCTCTTCTCCACTGCACTTCCAATGTCTTCTCTTCTCCAGGTGTAGAAGTGTCTGCACTTCCAATGTCTTCTCTTCTCCAGGTGTAGAAGTGTCTGCACTTCCAATGTCTTCTCTTCTCCAGGTGTAGAAGTGTCTGCACTTCCAATGTCTTCTCTTCTCCAGGTGTAGAACTGTGTCTGCACTTCCATTGTCTTCTCTTCTCCAGCTGTAGAAGTATCTGCACTTCCAATGTCTTCTCTTCTCCAGGTGTAGAAGTGTCTGCACTTCCAATGTCTTCTCTTCTCCAGGTGTAGAGGTGTCGGCACTTCCAATGTCTTCTCTTCTCCAGGTGTGGAAGTGTCTGCACTTCCATTGCCTTCTCTTGCCCTGGTAAAGAAGTGTCTGCATTTTCAATGGCTTCAATGGAACACAAGGGTCCGTACTTCCAATGGCTTCTCTTGTCCTTGTATAGATGTATCCACACTTCCAATGGCTTCCCTCGTCCTTGAACAGAAGTGTCTGTAATTTCAATGGCTACTTCTTCTATGGTATAGACGTGTTAGCATATCTAATGTCTTCTCATGTTCATGTATAGAAGTGTCGATATTTCCAGTGGCTTCTCTTGCCCTGGAACAGAAGGGTACATACTTTCAATGGCTTCCCTTGTCCTTGAATAGAAGTGTCTGTAATTCTAATGGCTTCTTCTTCTGTGGTATAGACATGTTAGCACTTCTAATGTCCTGTTATAGAAGGCTCCGCACTTTCAATGGCTTCTCTTGCCCTGGTATATATGTTTCCACACTTTCAATGGCTTCCCTTGTCCTTTAATAGAAGTGTCCATAATTCCAATGGCTTCTTCTATGGCACAGGTGTCACTGGCGGCCCTCCAGCTGTTGCCAAACTACAAGTCCCATGAAGCATTGCAAGATTGACAGTAACAAGCATGACTCCCAAAGGCAGAGGCATGATTGGACTTGTAGTTTTGCAACAGCTGGAGGGGTGCCAGTTTGACACCCCTGTTCTATGGGATAGAAGTGTTAGCACTCCTAATATTTTCTCGTGTCCTGGTATAGAAGGGTCCGCACTTGCACTTCCAATGGCTTCTCTTACCCTGGAATAGCAGTGTCTGCTCTTTAAGTGGCTTCTCTCGCCCTGGTATAGAGGTGTCTGCATTTTCAATGGCTTCCTTTGTCCTTGAATAGAAGTGTTTAATTTCAACAGGTTCTCTTCTTTGGTATAGAAGTGTTAGCACTTCTAATATCTTCACTTTTCCTGCTATAGAAGGGTCTGCACTTCCTGTGGCTTCTCATGTCCTTGTATAGAAGTGTCAATATTTCCAGTGGCTTCTCTTGCCCTAGTATGGCAGTTTCTGCATTTCCAAGGGCTGATTTGTCTATGGTATAGAAGTGTTAGCACTTCTAATGGCTTCTCTTGTCCTGGTATAGTGTCTCCACTTCCAGTGGATTTTCTTGCCCTGGTGTAGAGGTATCTTCACTTCCAATGGCTTCTCTTGCCTGGAATAGAGGTGTCCACATCTCTAGTGACTTCTCTTGCCCTAGTATAGAGTTATCCTCACTTCCAATGACTTCTCTTGCCCTGCTATAGAAGTGTCTAAACTTCCAATGGTTTCATTTGCCCTGGACTAGAAGTGTCCACACTTCTATTGGCTTATTTTGTCCTGGTATAGAGGTGTCCACACTTCCAATGGCTTATCTTGCCCTGGTATTGAAGTGTCCACACTTCCATTGGCTTCTCTTGCCCTGGTATACAGGTGTCCACACTCCCAGTGACTTTTCTTGCCCTGGACTAGAAATGTCCACACATCCATTGGCTTCTCTTGCCCTGGACTAGAAGTGTGCACACTTCCATTGGCTTCTCTTGCCATGGACTAGAAATGTCCACACTTCCATTGACTTCTTTTGCTCTGGACTAGAAATGTCCACACTTCCATTGGCTTCTTTTGCTCTGTACTAGAAATGTCCACATTTCCATTGGCTTCTCTTGCCCTGGTATAGAAATGTCCACACTTCCATTGGCTTCTCTTGCCCTGGTATAGAGATGTCCACACTTCCATTGGCTTCTCTTGGCTTTTTCCTGATTCTGCTTTCATGACATCTGAGTTCCTCGCTTTAAAATTTTTGTATCTATCTTTATCTAGATATTTAAAAAAAATAAAATATATATATGTGTGTGTGTGTGTATATATTTATAGAATAGACCCACACACACCTGCCCTATCAGTCTCCTGGCCGTTCCCAAAACCTGGTCCCAGCATTGGAGATTTCATCCCTCCCAAATCGCTTTGAAATCTCCCGGCTCCGGGTCCCAAAATTGACTTTTACAAACAAATGAGGAAAGTGAAAAGCCAGTTAAATAAGTACCCTGGAGACCCTCAACCTGCCTTGTTGAGAATCCCGGGTGAAATATCCCTTCTACATCGTGACAGATCGCCATGCCGTCACTATATATATATATACACACATTGTGATAGTGATGGTGGCGATCTGTCACGATGTTGAAAGGTTATTTCACC